GTTCTCCAAATTGCTCAAAATTTCCGCTACGGGGTCTCCTGAACCTGCTGAATTTCACCCCTGCTCTGAACTGAATTTCTGCCCCAATGTTAATTATTGCTGAGATACAACTTGAACTAATTTTAATTGTAGTTAAGGTTACTCTTGATCATTGAGATTCTGCTTGACTTAGGATATGAAATTTTAAAATCAATTTTGGACAACAAAAACACACTTCATTTTTAAAAATGGGCATGTGCTGAAAAGTGGCCATATGATGAGCTGAAGGAGGAAAGGAGAAGGATCCTCAGAGTTGAAAGTTTGCAATCTTGAAGGTGGATTCTGTTTTGTGAAATACAGTGTATTTAACATGACAGATTGACATGAATCCACAGGTGTTTATTTTTATTATGCTACAGTTCTGATATAATATTTTGATTGGTAGAGAGAGTGGTACTCACTGAATTTTTCCCTTCCTTTCATCCCACCGACCCATCAAGACTAAGGAAGATACCACAAACCCCACTCCTCCCATCCCATATTCCAGGAGATCTCAAGAACTATGGAGAGAATGATAGGAACAATTGCCTTTCCACCCTGTGAAAGATTGAGATTTTTGTTAGATTCAGCCCATTGTATTGTTTAGTTCTTATTCATTCTACTTTTGCCTATGTCCCTTATAATTTTTTTAAATGTAGCATGGAATTCCTGCTCTCATCAGTCTGTTGGACAATGACTTACAAGATCTGCTTGTGAATGTCATGAGCTGTATCCGAGTATTATGCAAGAATAATAAACAGAATCAGCTGAAAGTGAAAGAAATGAATGGTATTGAACCACTTGTCCAGTTCTTAGGTTCAGATTCAGGTAAAAACAAAAATAGTAAAATTGACTAATCGGTTTTAAGGGAATGACATAGCTTACTGATCACTTAACTTTCTAGTTCTTTTTACTTCTGGGGTGATGGGACTTCCAGGAGAAGACATCTGTTTCACCAGCAGTATCTATTTTCTAAAAAACAGTAGTTAGACTCAACAATAAAATGCAGTCTTTGAAGTCTCAGTGCAAAGGGGAATAGATACATTTATTAGGAAATTTTTACCTTCTTATTCCTGGTTCTGTCCTTCATTTGTATTACCCATTAAGGAATATCTTGCAGATGTAAAGAAAGATGTTGTACTTGTTTCAAATTAAAATTAAAAAAATTTTTAATAAAAAAAAAAAGGAATATCTTGCTTTACAAGGTCTAGAAAACTGACTTTAATATTTTGAAGGGGGGAACTGTAACATCATTATCTAAGTGCAGCAACAAATCTTTGTCAAGCATTTTAGTGTAAATTTTAGTCAGGAAATAGATATAATAAAGAATAAAATAAGAGGATATACCCTAATATTTTAAAAAATCTAACATCTATAGTTTATGCTTCTTATTTATGTATATTATGGTATTCCATAATTTTTCTATGAGCATTGAAAACATATACTCCTGGCACATCAATACCAATATAAAGAGGATAACCTGCTATAGCTTCTTGTTTTAAAATGCGAAGATAACGTGAAGGGTATGCAGTAAATGGTTATTTCAAAATCATAGGTATAATAGTGATTACCATTTGGGGATTCATTGATGAATTTGAGGTGATTTATCATTGGTCAGAAAAGTAAAAAGAATCATTCAAAAGGAAGTATTCAATCTGTAAATTGTCGTTACTACTATAAGTAATGAGAGTCCTTAAAAGGTTAAAGCAGATTAAGTCAGACATATCTGGCTTTTATTCCTGTATTTTTTTTTCTGCTTAAAGATGTCCTGGTGGCAGTGGCCTCAGCAGTAATTGCAGAAATTTGTCGTGGGAATATGAAAATGCAGAATGCTATTGTGGCGGCAAATGTTATTGATCCTCTAATTCAACTTCTCAGAGGAAGGAAAATCAGTGTCCAGGTTAAAGGAGCAATGGCAATCGAGGCACTCTGTGAAGGGAACGTTATTATCCAGATGAGATTTCTAGCCAAATCTGTGACCACGTTCCTCCTGAAGCTCCTCAAGGCAAGTGTTTTGATTTTTTTAGTGGACCCAAGTCATTGTATAAGAGATGATGATGACAGCATACCATCAAGTACTGTCAATTCTTAAAGACTACATAGCTAGACTTTCCCATGGCTAAGGTAAAATTAAAGATTCCCCAACACATGCGTGCTAGTCATTCCTGACTCTAGGGGCGATGCTCATCTCCGTTTCTAAGCTGAAGAGCCAACAATGTCTGAAGCTGTCTCTGTGGTCATGTAACCGGCATGACTAAATGCAAAGCCACATAGAACGTTGTTACCTTCCCACCAAAGGTGGTTCCTATTTTTCTACTTGCTTTTTTTATGTGCTTTCAAACTGCTAGGTTGGCAGAAGCTGGGACAAGTAACAGGAGCTCGCTCTGTTATGCGGTGCTAGGGATTTGAACCACTGAACTGTCGACCTTCTGATTGACAAGCTCAGTGTCTTAGCCACTCAGTCATCACATCACTCTTCCCATGATTATCTATCCCCTAACCTAGTCCTTCAGGTCTCCCAACAATAACTGAGTTCACCCACCTGGCTGCTGTGGTCCTTTCCTTTCATTTTCCCCATATTAGATACTTCTCCAGAAAGCTGGGCCTTCACATAAATGTTTTAAAGTAGGATCATTTCAGCCTAGTGATTTGTGCCCCAAGTGAGATCTGGATTGGTTTATTTGATCGTTCATTGGCTAGTTTTCTTGGCTATCCATGGTACTATCAGGAGTCTTCTTCAACAGCAGAGTTCAAAAGCATCTTCCTATAGAGTAGATATGGTTATGCTCATAAGCTTTCACATATAACTTTCTCATTTTGGGTCAACTTCCAGGCCTTTCACTTGAAGGTGAAAGAACAAGGGGCTGTAACCCTCTGGGCCCTAGCCGGACAAACCCTGAAGCAGCAGAAATTCATGGCAGAACAGATTGGATATAATTTAATTATAGACATGCTTCTATCACCATCTGATAAAATGCAGTGTGTTGGTAAGTCGCTGTTGTTCTGCAATACAGGCACAAACTCATATAGGAGTTCAAAAGTTCTTAAATGTATTTGTTACTTTTGTTGTTTTGGAAGGAGGAGAAGCTGTCATAGCCCTTAGCAAGGACAGTGAAATTCACCAGAACCAAATATGCGAAGGGAATGGAATCGCCCCTTTGGTCCGGCTGTTAAGAAGTGGAAGGATAGCAGAAGGCACCCTCCTTAGTGTGATCAAAGCCTTAGGCACAATGTGTATCGGTCTGTAGTTCCTTTTCTCTTACTCCCAAAAACAGTATTAAAGCTTTTGAGTAAGAACCATGAAAGGGCCTAGGAAACAGTAGTCTTAATATTATACAATATTGGACAGGTTTGAGAGCTATTTCCCCCTATATGGCAACCCCCTTCACAAAACAGATGCGTTATCAAAATGGCTGCAATCCTACATCTACATATTTTGTAACTCACAAAGCCAACTATAGCCCAGTTGGGATTTAGTTCATTCTTTTTCTGAATTTCCTGGTATAAGCTTTTGAGGCTATAGTTGGCTTGGTAAGATTTTCTTTTTTAAAAAAAAGTAAGTCTAAAGAAATCATCAGAACAGATGGTATGAAATTATTGCTAGCAACCTATACCGTGTTCCCCTGAAATAAGCGCTTGGCCTTATTTTCAGGGAGGTCTTATTATTTTTGAGGTGCAGGAGACGGCAAGCGTGGTCACCTCATGGCTGCTGCCTTGTTGCAATATTTTCGGGGGAGGGCATATTTTAGCGCATGCGCACAAAAGGGCTTATTATCCAGGAGGTCTTATTTTCAGGGAAACAAAGTATTTAGTCCCAGTTTTTCTAGAAGACTTTATACAAGAATAGACCTTAATACAATCATTTCCAGTGATATCTTTGGAATATACAGGATTGCTTTAAATCAGATTAGTCAGTCCATATAATCCTTCTAACTCAGTACAGAATACAGTATTCTGACACTACTGTACTGTAGAGATATCAGCTGCAGACATGTCTTTAATCTGCTACCTGACCCTATTTTTAAACCAGGATATTACTAGGGTCTAATAAGAAAGCTAAAGTGAAACTAGCTTTCTGAGGTAAAATCAATGCAACTGATGGTAATGACATATTAAAACCAGTAGTAAAATAATGGTAAGTTCTAAACATCCTAAAATATTTTTTCATGTCTGGGAATTTAAAAATCTCTTCATCTAGTATTTTAAAACTTTAAAAGTAATCCTAGTTCTATTTCTCACAAGATTATGTTTCCTAATTTGGGGAGTTGTTAGATTTTATTTATTTATCTTCGGGCCAGTTTTGATTCATAACAACTACCTGGGCAAATCCTGCCAATATTTTTGGCATTTTTTTTTTAGAAGTGGTTTGCCTTTGAACCCTTCCTAGGGCTGAGAGGGAGTGACTGCCCCAAAGTAACCCTGCTGGCTTGGTACCTAAAGTGGGGCTAGAACTCCCAGTTTTCCGCTTTCTAGTGCTTTAGCCACTACACCAAATTGGCTCTCATATATTGTTTATACTTGGACAGAAAAACATGCCTCATTTCTGGACTCAAAGGGCTTCACTGAGTTTTGCTTCATGAGGACTTTCCATTGATTTGAGCTACAGCATTTAGCATATGCTTGCTTAAAAGTAAAGAACAGTTAAGGGGTCATATTTTGCTTGTGCTAACTTTCCTTTCTCTCCCCCCCCCCGGCCTTCTTTTATTTGAATGGATCTTTTTGCCTGACATCAAACATCTAGGTGAAGCTCATATAAGCAATCCAATTAGTCAAGAGAATGTAGTGGATGAAGGAGCATTGCCTATACTTGTTCATTTACTTAAAACTCATCCATCCCTTCAGATAAAGGTGGGTTTTAAATGTTTATCATACAGCTCTAAACTAGAGAGTCTTCACTTAGCAACTGCCTCAGATGATGACTGTTCAGTTACAATGGTGATGGAAAAAAAAATAACTACTTCTCATAAGAACCAAATTGCCGGTTCCAATTGTGGTCACTAAACTAGGACTAGCTATAGTTCTTGAATAGCTTTAATAGTTTTGCTTCGTTGAATAATATAAAAGAAAATACATTTGCAGAATGTTGAAAACTCTAGCTCAGGGGGGTCAAACTTGCGTTGTCACAGCATCGTCATGTGACATATTGTGACTCCCCCCCCCTTTGCTAAACCGGGCATGGGCGTGACCCGAGCCCGCGAGTTTGACAGCCTTAGCTGCTCTGGCTGCTGATAAAAAGCCTATCACATTAGATAATAGAACTTCAGTCTTAAGACCTTGTATTTGATTTTGCCATAATATCAGTATTAATTAAAATATGGATAATATATTAATATTATTTCAGCGTGCAGGAATGAAGTTAGAGGATGAAATATATATAGCTACCAAAAAAACCCCACCCTTAAATCAAGTGGGCAGTGTCTTAACAACCAGTAGCTGATTTCCTGGGAATAGAAGTGGATAGTCATATCCTAATGACACAATTATCTTGAGAGAGTGTTTCATATAATTAGCTAGCTTTGAAAGCCTAGGATAGATCATGACTATGATCAATCCTGGCCTAGTGGGCCCTCTATTTTACTTCAGCACTAGAATCATAAATCATACTGGCACATATATATACATGCATAAAGAGAAGGAATATTAAAGATTATTAGATCCTGCAGTTTTCCCTATGAACATTAGAATATTCAGTGACATGTATTTGTTATTTGCACAGATAAGGAAGATTTCTACAATATTTATGCCTGGGTATTTTTATTCTATGCATGTACACTTTGTTACAGTACTTAAAACTGTTTGCATGACATTTAGGATAAACAGAACAGGAGAAAAACCGCATAGATTTGGGGATTTGAAAAGAAGAAAACACTTTAAACTCATAAAGATTTTTGCTTTTAATTTTACGTTTTATGATATGCTTCATGCTTATATAGTGTAATTCCTTTTGTTTTTTTCTTCTAAAATGTAATGATATAAAAGGTTGAGAAAAAATGTAGACGTCACATTCTGATAAGGTTACAGCACCAGACAACTTCTAGATAACCATTACATAGCAGCAAAGATATATAAACTATTTTACTTTTTTTTTTTTTTTTGCTGAGAAAGAGGCTCTTTTCTTTCCTGAAGAAAATATTCTTAGGCACCAAAGGTAGATTTTCTGAAGCCGTAACAATTCTTTTTCCACACTTCATAAGTTATTATAATTCAAGTTTTAATTTTTCCAATTCTAATTAATCTTTAGGTTGAAGTTGCATTTTCCTTGGCTTGCATTGTTCTAAAGAATAGCAGTCTGCAGACTGTATTACAAGACAAAGAAGGCTTTAGTTATCGGGATGTCCTTAAGCTTTTTCATGCCCCAGATAAGGTAATGACTTCATTAAAATATTTGGTATACAAATTTTAAAATCAAACAATAAATTAAGTATCTTCAACTCCTAAGGCTGTGGGTACATTTGGGATTCTGAGGATGTACAAAAATGGTTGGAGAAAGCTCAGACCACAAAACATGCACTTCTTCTTTTGACAAGGGGCAGAATTGGCCCTTATTGACACTAGTAGATGACATTTTGTGGAAAAGAAACAAAGGAAGTAACACTCTTCTGAGGTTTGTGGATGTCTCAATTATCCTTTTGAATAATTTCCATGAGATCCAGTTTGAAGATACTGTCCTTCTGTGATGCTAGTCGTAGTTGCAAGGGAATTTTCAGAGAGTAATATTTTTTTTTAATAAATTTTTATTTTTATTACACAGACAACGCATACATAAAAAGAACAAAACAAAACAACAACAACAAAAGCCTCATGACATACAGCATGTCATTTGGTTATAGGTGTTTTAACATCCATATTCTCGAATAACATTTACCATCACAGATTTTTCATCTAGTATAACTAAATACCTCATTTTCATTGTACAGTATATGTTCAATTACGATTAGTATTATTTTTTTCCCAATAAATCATAGTTCCTTTACATTCTTAATTATCTATTTAATAACAGTATACCTTTATATAATTCCTATGTGAAAAAAAAGATTTTTTTTTACCAACAATTTATATTTATATATCACTA